ACCGGGAAGGCAGCGGCTTGTGCGAGAGGAAGGCCTTGGTCCTGAGGGAGACGCCTCACGCAGCCCAGAGGGCCTCCTGCTGCTGCTCTGGCGACAGGGAGAACTTAGTCTGTAAAGGCAGGGGGTTCCCTACCGTTGTTAGCTCGCAGCTAGATACGCTTCAGAAAATATGCCGTTACTGAAAAATTGCAGGTACAGGCTCAACAGAAACAACGTACGTGCTTTGCAAAGGTTCCACTTGACCTTAAAGCTTTTTTATTAATATGTGGTAAGGATATTATAATAATTCTGTACAACTTTACCCCATCAGCAGAAAGACCTGGATTAAAAGAACTAGGAAAAAATGTAGATCTGTTTGAGGGCTTGTGTTTGAAGACTTACAACATAAGACGGTATAAATCTGTCTAAGGGGAGAGGAAAAGACCAACTAATACCTTTGGTTTGTCAACTGGCAGTCAAGTGAGGTTGTGAAAATACTGTTTATGATGATACATCACTAGCGCAAGAGAACAAAAGTTTAACATAATAAATTAAAGCTGGAAGAACATGCAAACAGGGCTCCAGAGAACTGTGGAATGGCCCCTAAGCTGAGCAGTGTCTTGTTCAAGATGGGTCAGGCTATTCTGGGAAATGTCAAGCAACAAATCACACATTTGTGATGTACGTTTTGTGATCTGTAATCTATTGTCTGGAAAAACAAGGTATTAAAGTAGCAAGCACTGCAGTAAAGTAATCTCTTTTGGAGGGTAAGCAGACCAGTGGGAAGGCTCACAGATGTGGAAGAAGTCTGGATTTTTATCAAGATCTCTTAAAATTGCTAGCTCAGTCCACTGATGTTAAAACATATTATTCCATATAGATTTCACACTTACAGTTTGATTTCTTAAAAAATACTGATAAGAATCAATTAGCAACCCAAGAGAAGGAACAATGTCTCTGGAGAAGGAAGAAAGTGAAATTCCAAGTGGTCTAAATACAAAAGGACTAAACAAAAGCTTTCATGAGATGCCAGTTAATGGTGCCAGGAAAGACTAATTGCATTCATCAGAGAATCCTAAAGTGGCCGACCTAACTATGAAAAGTTTGAGTTATATTTCATGTGAAGTTCCTAAAGCAGCTGGCAACAAGGAAAGCCATAAAATGACAGAAAATAAATCAATAAGTGATTTACCTGAAAAAAAGGTATGAATGTGAATTCTCAGCTGAGATAAATGCTGCCACAGTGCTTCAAGGTGTCTCTGAAACAGGTGTGAGAAAACACACGCTACTTACAACAGCTGAAAAGGATAGTGGAGAACTAAACCAAATCCTTTCAGAAGCTGTCAGTGGAGATGCCAGACCAGACATAATACAATCAGCAATGAATCCTGAAAGTGATGAAAATGGATCAACGTATACGTTGCCTGAAGATGAGAATTTCACACTTAGACTAAATGATAAAGGATTAGGGAGCCTGCCCCTGCTTGCTTTTGAAACCCCAAATTTAAAACATTTGCTCTTGCACAACAATGACATAAAAACATTGCATTTAAATATAGCTAATCTAACTAATCTGGAAATCCTGTTACTTGAAAGAAATAGACTGGCACTGTCGCCACCAGAAATATCCTTATTTCATAAACTGACAGTACTGAATGTCAGTCACAGAAGGAGTTGTATCTAAATAAATGGTTTTCTTTCTTTATCAGTTAACTAAAATTCCAGAGGAGCTATCTAAACTGGTTTGCCTCAGGGAACTGGACATATCTCAATGCATTAAAGGAAATGCCAGACAGCATAGGGGAGCTGCAGTATGTGGTCTGTTTAATTGCAAATTAAATTATTATGATATTGGCCAGCTCCCCAAATCCATTACATCACTAAGAAATCTACAGCGACTTGACCCGAGTAGTGAGTATCAGGCATTCAATCCATTAGTAAAATGTAAGCATTGAAGTATGCCCCCAAAGCGTGTAAATACATCACAAGATAAGAGGGTGGTGAAGCAAACAACCAAGAAGACAACAGCTTTCCAGTTTTTAATGTATACTGCTGTGATCTGCCATGGCTTCTAACCAAGCTTCCTCTCTTGAACTTAATATTTTTAATGCAGCTGTTGTAGGCGCCCCATCTGTGAAATCTTTTTGAGCGGCATGATTTTCGCAAGTGCGATCATCGGGCAAATAAAGGCCTGACACGCACAAAGCAGGGATGACCACGGCGTGTGCTGGGCAGGGGCCTGTTGGTTACGAGCCTGACCTCTTTCTGCTGCACAGAATGCGTGTGTCTGAGTAACGCTGCTGGTACAGTACAGCCTGTTGTCCAGGGGAGTTACCCGGTGTGGGTTACCATGGGGGGGTTGTCCCGGGGGGATTCTCCGGTGTGGTTTATCCAGGATGGGTTAGCTCACGTGGATTATCACGGGTGGGTC